AAAGTGTTGGCATGAGTAACTCCAAGGGTGGCTGGACGGTAGCGACTGAGTTCCACAAAAGATTGCGGTAAATATTTCAACACTCTCTTCCAAACACTACGCAGTACGCACCAAGGGACTTGCCATCAGCACAAGCTGACAAGTCACCTCATGCCGTCCAGGCACATGGTCTGACGTGGGCACCTTTTGTCCTATTCCCTAGCCCTACTATAAATATTGATGTAAACTCTTAGTGTTGAAATCTGAATTTTATCTGTAAGTGTGTGCATTGTAATCTTGCCCGTACAATCTATATATTAAATAACAATCGAGCTACAGGTGTTTCCTCTTACAATCCTACCGATCATCCTTTGTTTTCTATATGTTTTACTTTATTAAACTTAGCAAATTATCATAGACCCGATCTAAAATAGTTTGCCCAAATTGTTAATTTACTCCATTATCATCTTCTTTCACGGAAGGAGATGGTTATGGAGAAGAGAGAGAAGTAATGAGCAACAATACTCTTATCTCTCTCTAAATAATCTTTCTTCCTTTGACTTTGGTGGTTTTAGGAAAGTTGGGACTTGAAGGCTTCAAGCACTTCCTTTTCAAATGATTGAATGATCTCTAGAAACTTGTGAAGGCTTCTTCAAGCTCAACTCTCTTCCCACCTCAACAATCGAAATACAAACACAGAGGAATTAACAGAAACACCATTTTGCCCGGGAAAGCATCTCAGGTTAGCATTTTTGACCGGTGGGGCCGACTTTGGGGGCTGCCGATTTTGCCTAAAGTAAAAAACTGTGTTTGGAGATGTTTAAGGGGTGTCTTACCCACGGCATTAGCACTCGGAACCAAGGGAGTTGACATTGATCTACACTGCCGCATTTGTGGTGCACCAGAGGAGTCATTAGAGCATGTTTTTCTACTTTGTCCTTTTGATCTAAAAATTTGGAGGCTCCTTGGCAGCAATATAGCTACAGGTTTGCATAATAATTTTACTGCCTGCTTATTGTTTGCTTTCAGCTCGATGTCAACTTCTGATTTGGCAGTGTTGGCTACGGGCATATGGGCAATTTGGAAGGCCCGAAATCATGCTTGCTGGAAATTAAAGGTAGTTAAACCTGAGATCGTGGCGGAATGGGCATGTGAAGTACGCATGGCCAGGGCAGGTGGTATGTTGCATGGTGACACGGTGTCGATGTCAACGCACCAGAGGCCACATCAGATGAGTCGGCCGGAAATAACACACTGCTTCGTTGATGCTGCCGTGTTTGACCAAGATAATTCTACATCGGTGGCGGCCGCTCTGCTTGATGGCACTGGCAGGTTCGTTGGGGGCTTCAACAAATTGGTTTCATGTCCCTTGGTGCCGAGATACGTGGAAACGATGGCTATTAAGGAGGCGCTCTCATGGCTCAAGGAGAAGAATATCCAAGAAGTCTTGATTTTTTCAGATTGTGCTCAAGCAATTCAGGCCTTGAAGAATGGTGTGTCAGGTGCTCGGTCGTATCTAAGTGCGTTGGAGGACGAATGCAAGAATCTTACATATTATTTTCGTTTTGTTAATTTTTGTTATATCCCTAGACTGTCAAATTTGATTGCACACACCCTTGCTAGATTGGCAATTAACGGGTGCCATGAATGGTGGAATGATCCCCGCATGATGCATGATGTACTGCATTATCTTTAATTAATGGAAAGTTTGAGTTTCAAAAAAAAAAAGAAACACCATTACTTTTATATGCACAATGCAAATCAAGACCCCAAAAAAACCCACCAAAACATTCCCCAGATTAGTTTATTTGGAGAACAAATTATAGAATTTAGTATAAGTGAAGATTCTCGTTCTTGAGATAATGTAAGACATATCTTGAGAGTAAATTGACAGAAATGGAAAATGGATATAGCAAGTTTACATATTGATTGATGATGAAAGAGGTAAGAGAGATTGAACAAGCAGTTATCTCTTCATAACATTTCTGAACAAGCAAAGAACATAAGTTCTAATGCTAAGACTACAATGGCTTCCACCACCTAAAAATCCCCTATGTAGCCACAGCTTTCTTTGGGGACTTGCCGGCTGCCTTGGGAGATTTGGGCTCCTTTGTTGGCCTGTCAGATCCTGTCTTCTTTGGCAACAAAACCGGGTTGATGTTCGGCAACACACCACCGTGGGCAATGGTGACCCCAGCAAGCAATTTCCCAAGCTCTTCGTCATTCCTAATTGCCAACAAAATGTGCCTTGGAATAATTCTGTTCTTCTTGTTGTCCCGAGCTGCATTCCCAGCTAACTCCAAAACCTAAAGATGCCAAACGAACAATCCATTAATTCATCAGAGCCATGTGATTGAACCTCAGATCCGCTCTGAATCAAACTGATTCAAATTCCAATTGAACTCCAATGGGGTGAATTAGGCAACAGAAACCTTAGGAAATTAAGAGAGTCGAGCAAGGAACAAACCCTATGCAACGGAGAAGACGATCGCGGATCCAAAATGTATTATTCACACGAAATACATATATAAATTCATTCCGGTGAGAGGAAAAAGGGGAACTTACTTCAGCTGCCAAGTACTCGAGGACGGCAGCCATGTAGACCGCGGCGCCGCTACCAACGCGCTGAGCGTAACGGCCCTTCTTCAAGTACCGGCCAATTCTACCGACGGGAAACTGGAGGCCGGCGCGAATGGAGCGAGTGACGGGCTTCTTCTTCGGACCACCGGCTTTCCTGCCGGCGGCTCCCTTCTTTGCCTTGGAGGTGGCGTCCATTGGAGATGATCGGAAATAATCTGTGAAGAAGAAATGAGGGAAGCGATGACTCACCGAGCGAATAATGCGATTAAAGGTCCGGTTAGAACGAGCCTTTTATATGTGTGGTCGCCTCGGATTCATTTTTTTTTGGTTTTCGTGGATATATCGTAATGGCCGTTGGATTAGGTATGATCGACGGCAGAAAACAAAATATGGCTCGATCCGTGTCGCGTGTATGGACCAATCACAATCGATCTTGAGTTTGTGTTTATTCCTCCCCCACTGTATTATACTCCGTTAGACTATACAGAGGGTTTACTATACGGATTTTGTGAGAAAATTAGTCCGAGATATCACTCATTTTTTTATATTCCTTCCGTCCTAAAATTAACTTCTCATTTGAATTTTCACGGTCTCTAATGCGACACTTTAATCATCAATATCTTAATTTTATATAAATATATTTTATAAAAATTATATATTTCAAAACTATGTTTTAAAATGAATCTATTGCTAATAAATTTGTATGAAAATTCAATATTTTTTTTCCGTAATATACGGTCAAAGTTTAAAAAAGTTTGATTATAAAAGTCAAACTGGAAGTTAATTTTAGTACGGAGGGAGTAATAATTTTCAAATCTCATATTGTCTGAAATATATTATGGGGTATCTTCGATTTTCTAATACTCCGTAAGAGCTATCAAGTCTCACATTCTCCAATATATACTCCAATGTACTTAAAATTTGTAATATTATATTCCGGTGGTACATTCTATTATCAAGATTGAAAGTTCATTTGCTTTGACAAATTGAAAAATTTTATTTAAATTTAATGAGATAATGATTATCAGGATAAAATTTAGTACTACCTATGTCCGAGTGTGTGGCCTAATTGGATTGAGTTGAATTAGACAAACTTTAAGTTTCAATTACTCTCAATTGTTTTTTTACATATTAGTATAATAAAATAAAATTTTAAAAATTCTTAATAGGATAAATCTAATAAATTCATTTTATACAAATATATATTATGATTTTTATGTAGTTAAAGCTCAAAGTTCATCTATTTTGATTCAAAACAGTGAAGTTTAACATATAAACAAGAACGGGGGTAGTACATGTCAAAGTAACAAAACTTTTAATTTTAATGGCTAAACCGATGAAATGTACCCTCTGAGTGCATTATCTAATTTCAAGACCCCTAGAGTTTATTTAAGATATTGTGAGACATGATCAACAGCACATCCGGTCAGTTTGTGCTCTACATAAATGCAATCTAAAGGTATGTTTGAGAAATGACAGACCTTCCATTCTTGTTTTAGACATAAACATCTTATCTGGTTGAAATATTTTAGAGTATCCCGAAATAATTTTAATCTAAAAGCGATTGCACGATTCGTTTAGTCTACACATTTTCTCACTTTCGTTCGTATACTGTTCTACATAAATTTATCGCCCCTCTCAAATTTCTAACCGATCAGTGTTGCACACCCCATTAACAAACAAAACAAAACCCTACACAATCTCGAGGTAAATCTCTTCCAATAAATAACACATTGTCCTCCCCTATGAAGCTCTTTATGTTAACTACCAAGTTCAATTCTATGAAATTTCTCTTATGTTATATTGACTTTTGCTTTCTGATAATTTTCATCTCAAATTTTACTTTATCTTTTGAATCTCATGGGTCGCACAACTCATATTTTCACATATGCCATTTACATGACTTCCAAATCTATCATATAGTGTGTCATATAATCTCTAAGGGAGAGAGACAAGAGTTTACAATTCAAGATGAAAATGTTTACTTTTATTGGGAGCATACATGGTAGTACCATATATGAGAGAATGTTAATTGCGAGAAGCTCACAAAACTATATGCATCATGCATTAATTAGTTTAAGATGTAGCCTGATTTGAGGAAAATCTGCTAGTGGATAACCCTGAAACGAGAAATCACGAGTTTTACAACTAGGTGCTTGACTTCTCAATAAGCCAAGGACAAAAAATCAAGTACATACCCACATGATTGTTATAGTCAATCACATTTCACGATTGGAAGCAGGATCTTATCACAATGAACTTTGTTACAGGTTTACCTATGTCCTCTAGGAAGAATTTCACATTTTGGGTTAATGTGGATCAATAGGCAAAATTTGCCATCTCCAACCAATTAGAAGTGATTTTTTCTTTACAAAAGTTGGTCAAAGTGTATGTGCGTGAGACTCCACGGAACACCCACACCCATTATATTTCTCGGAATGCCCCCCCAATGTTGTTTTCAATGAAAATAATTTTCCTTGTTTGTCCTTGCCTATTCCCAATGTTGAAAATGTGGCTCCAAATGAGGTGGAGCAATTGCCTGTTATCATTCCTACTGATGTGCATGTAGAAACTAATGAACATGTTGATTCACACACTAATGAAGATGAGACTATTTCTAATGAGGTGGAGCATGATAGTGTAGAATCACATGTTGAAAATGATTTGCATGACTATCAACTTGCTAGGGATAGAAATAGAAGAACCATTAGCAAACCTGCGAGATATGTTGATGACTGTAATATGTCTGAGTTTGCTTTTCATGTGTTTGAATCCCTTGAGTGTGATGAACCTAAGACTTATCATGAAGCATTAGAATCTAAATGTTCTGAAAAATGGGTTAGTGCTATGAAATGTGAGATGGAATCCCTTCGTGTTAACCAAACGTGGAAACTTGTGCCAAAACCTGAAAACTATTCTCTTGTGGACTGTAAGTGGTTGTTTAAAATTAAGCAAGAACCTGAAAATGTTAG